GCCAGTGTCAAGGAATTGGAGGGGGGGTGGGGGGAGGGAGTGAGAGAATGGGATTATTCTCCAAATAATTCTTATCTATAAACATTAATATTAACAATAATAACAGCTACTAACTGTTGGATACTAACTGCTGGGTGCCCACAGTGTGTCCACTACTTGCACACTTGGATTCCTGCCCAGCAGGGATTATCACCCATGTAACTACTGAGGAAACTGAGACCTAAAGAAGAGTGGAAAACTGTCAAGGTCACATAGCAAGGTCAGGCCTGGGTAGGAACTGGACTGTGAGCCAGCTGCGTTTGTGGGTGCCGTCCAGAACTCTGTAGGTGAGTGTGTACACACAGGGGAGGGTGTGCATATATGTGTGCCCACACCTGTGCCTACTCCCTGCCACCCACTAGGATGAGCGGAACCAGGTGCTGACCCTGTACCTGTGGATTCGACAGGAGTGGACAGATGCCTACCTACGATGGGACCCCGATGCCTATGGTGGCCTGGATGCTATCCGCATCCCCAGCAGTCTCGTGTGGCGTCCAGACATCGTACTCTATAACAAGTACTGCCTGCCTGGGCCCCTCCCCCTTCCATCTGTTGCCCTTGGCTCTAGGTTTGCACTGATTCCCCATCCCCACAACCTAACTTGGTTCCTATGCTGCCCTGGAAGCTTTTCCCCCAGGACCCTTCTAAGCTGCCAGCCCCTCCATGATATGCCCCACTTTAGACTCTCCCAAGCCAACCCAGGCTGAATGTCTCCTGGGAACCCACTGTGTGGTCTAGGGGCCATTTCTGTATCTCTCACAGAGAGGGTTCTGGGGTACAAGTGCCTCCTGATGGCATACTCCACCCTTCCAGGCCTGCTCCAAGTCTCCCAGGACTCCCCGACGGCCTACCTAGGGACTTCCTCTAGGGCCTAACCCTCTGGAGCATTCCTTTATGCCACCTAAACCAGTTGTGTTTCCCAGACAACACATGGCTCTGCATATTTTCCCCCAGGGGCCCCCTAGGAGATTTGCAGATAACACAGTGCAGCCAGGTGCCATCTTTTGCAGATGTGTTTTCACCCTGCCCTGGCCTAGATCCGTGTCTCCTCTAGAGTCTGCAGGCGCCACCCCTTCTGAGCCTCCAAAGGCACGCAGGGCCCTCTCTGCCACCCCCTCCACCCTCCAGGCGGTCCCTGGTAACCACAGGGCCCCGGGGGTCACAGAGGTGCTGCAGGAGTCTGCCTCCCATCAGCCTCCTCAGGTAGCCCAACCCCGCCCGCCCACAGGGCTGACGCACAGCCGCCGGCCTCGGCCAGCACCAACGTGGTTCTGCGGCACGACGGCGCCGTGCGCTGGGACGCGCCGGCCATCACGCGCAGCTCATGCCGCGTGGACGTGTCGGCCTTCCCGTTCGACGCGCAGCGCTGCGGCCTGACGTTCGGCTCGTGGACGCACGGCGGGCACCAGCTGGACGTGCGGCCGCGCGGTACCGCCGCCAGCCTGGCCGACTTCGTGGAGAACGTGGAGTGGCACGTGCTGGGCATGCCGGCACGGCGGCGCGTGCTCACCTACGGCTGCTGCTCAGAGCCCTACCCGGACGTGACCTTCACGCTGCTGCTGCGCCGCCGCGCCGCCGCCTACGTGTGCAACCTGCTGCTGCCCTGCGTGCTCATCTCGCTGCTCGCGCCGCTCGCCTTCCACCTGCCCGCTGACTCGGGCGAGAAGGTGTCGCTCGGCGTCACCGTGCTGCTGGCGCTCACCGTCTTCCAGCTGCTCCTGGCCGAGAGCATGCCACCGGCCGAGAGCGTGCCGCTCATCGGTGAGCCACGAAGGCGCGGGTCGAGGGTGGTGAGGGGGCGGGGAGTGAGCCGTCTCCTCCGTGAGACCGGCCCCTGCCCATGCCCAGCCCAGCCGTGCCGGCCCAATTCGGCGTGGGAGTTGGGGGTGAGGGTGGGGGCGTTCCGGGAGCATGCCTCATTCTGAGATTGAGGAGAGAGGGGTAGGCCCCTTCCAGGAAGACATCCTCCCCCTCACCCGTCGTAACAGGCAGTTTGCATTGAGTGCTGGCTGTGTGCCAGGTCCTCTCCTAAGCGCTTGTCATTTATTAACTCAGGGAGCCCTCACCACAGACCTGTGAGGTAAGTTCTGTTGTTATCCCAGTTGTACCAAAAGAATCAATAACTTGCCCCAGATGGTGCTTCTACATTTGAGAGCGTGGCTTTCATGGATTGTGAGGGAGTGCAGAGTCCAGCAGTGAGGAGAACAGCTAGGGAGCACGTGGCTTGTGAGAACTCACTTGTAGGAATAGGGGATGAGGAGACCTTGGCTCTTATGTCCTTCCTGGCTCCATCCATTGGGATTGGAGGGTCCTGAGAGCCTCATGGTGGATGAGCTGGTGCCTGTTTGTGTTGAGGCAGTGGGCAGACTCAGGCACCCTGAGTTCTTGTTTTGGGCCCCAGCTCACTCTCTCTCTTTCAGGGAAGTACTACATGGCCACCATGACCATGGTCACATTCTCCACAGCGCTCACCATCCTTATCATGAACCTGCATTACTGTGGTCCCAGTGCCCGACCAGTGCCAGCCTGGGCTCGGGCCCTCCTCCTGGGACGCCTGGCACGGGGCTTGTGCGTGCGGGAACGAGGGGAGCCCTGTGGGCAGTCTAGACCACCTGAGTCACCCCCCAGTCCCCAGCCTTCTGATGAAGGGGTTCACCCTCCAGCAGTTCCTTGCCATGAGCCACGGTGTCTGTGCCATCAAGAAGCCTTGCTGCATCACGTAGCTACCATTGCTAACACCTTCCACAGCCACCGGGCTGCCCAGCGCCGCCATGAGGACTGGAAGCGGCTGGCCCGTGTGATGGATCGCTTCTTCCTGGGGATCTTCTTCTCCATGGCCCTGGTCATGAGCCTCCTGGTGCTGGTGCAGGCCCTGTGAGTCCCAGGGGTCTGATGCAGCCACAGCACCCCCAGACAGAGATGGAAAGGCCAGGTGGTTGTTGGCTCTCAGGCCACCCAGTCTCTCCCCACTGTGCCTAAGAGCCTGGGACACCCTTTCTTCAGGATCAGCACTGCCGATTTCACAAACCACAGGGATCGCTTGTCTACATACCTTAACCACTAAGGGAAATCCAGAGTTTGCCACTCCCTTAATCCCTATGGAAGAGCAACTCTAAGAAGGGTCAAAATCAAAATGCAGTCCTGGAGGAACAGAATTGAACTTTGATGCTGAGTGTTAGAAATGTTAGAGTGGCAAGGGTGCAGGTTATATGAGAAACAGAACTACCATGTTTCTTTGTCTTCTCTTACTTCCTTGGTGGCTATTATTTTAGGAACTTGGTCTTGCCAGTCCCTGCCTAGGACTCAGGGTAAAGGATTCAGGATTCTAGTTTCCAGAGCAGGAGGCCACACCAGAATTTTGGCCCCAAAGCCCCAACTCATAATAAAGTAAGTGTGTGCCTAGCACCTCTTCAGTGTCCTGTCTTAACCCTTGGGACCCGTGGTAGTGGAAGTTGGGGATCCAGGATTGTCTCTCTAGAGACGGGAACCTTAGGACACATAGATCAGAGCAGAAATTATATGTCTTTGCTGACAAGAATTCAATTGCGCATTCAGCTGAGACCCTGGCAGAGAACCTAATGCTGTCTCTGCTATTTCTCCTGCTCTCTACTGTCTGGAGCTAGAGCCAGTCCACATCATTCCTACACACTGACATTCAGAGAGCTTGAAAATGTCCAGAGCAGGGCACTGCAGACATGAGCCATTCGCAAGATGTTTGTTCCTTTTTGATTTACACGTTTTCTAGCACTACCTGTGTGCTTTAGACCCAGTCCCTGCCATCAGGAAGCTCACCATCTGATACAGGAGGCAAACATGAACACGTGGTGTAGAGAAGCATCTAAGGACCTGTGGGAGCAGAGAGGCAGGACCCCTAGCCCAGCCAGGTGGGAGAAGTCAGAGAAGGCTTCTTGGGAGAGTGAATAGGAGCTTTCCAGGTGCACATGTGAGGCATTTGAGTAATACCAGCAAATGCTCTGGCCAAGTGCTTTCCTCCCCATTCCCCCCCAAACTAGTTTAACCTCCAAGTGAGTTGTTGCCTGTTGTAGAGACCCCCGTGTCTATTCAGTGTCTCATTCTTAGAGCCTTGGCTAAGGCTCAGTCCTCAGATTCCCTTATTTCTCCATCAGCAGGCCTGGCAGCTACCAACGTCCCAGAGTTCCCAGCAGATGGAGTTACCATGGATCCTGGCTGCCTTTAAAGCACACATGTGGCCAACATCCCCATGTTGGGTAGAGGCAGCAGGCAGGGCTGTTCAGTGTTGGAAGGATGATGGGAGGCCTGGAGTCTATGGAAAGGTTCCTCTGACAAGGAGCCAGAGTGGCAGTAGGAGGGACCAGACTGCAGAAATGGGGCCTTGACTCATGGCTGTGGGAAAAACAGAGGCAGAGAGAGAAGTTTTCAGGGTAAAATGAGGTACATAAATAAGACAAAGAGGAGCGAGCAGAGTGAGCTGGAAACACAGACACACAAAGTGTGATGGGAGCCAGAGATGCAGAGCATGGATTCAGGGAGGAGGGTAGGCAGATGAAAGAGCCCCAGTTCCCCTTCCAGAGGTCACTAGGTTGGTCTATGCCCCTGCCCCCTACTGAGACAAATGAGGCATTACAGAGTGGGTTGAACAAGGGGAAGAGATATGATGAGAGCTCTAGTGATGCTCATCTTTGCCCCTCTGCCCAACCCCTGATAGAAGTACTGATGGACCAGGGGGAATCCTTAACTCGTCCAGTGCTTGAAATGACATTACCAGAACTCAAGTTGGTTGGAGCCTGGAGATATGGCTTCTGACCCTGGCTCTGCCACTGACTCCTTCTGTCACCTTGGGCAAGTCATTTCTGTCTCTGGGTCTCCTTTACTATATAATGAAGGTAATACTCCCTGTTCTTCCTCCTTCCAATAGTTTATTGTACAGTAAGGATAAAATAAGATGGTGTCTGGAGAGAAATGGGGACCAGGTAGTGTGGTGGTTCAGAGTGTGGCTCTAGAGCTGGGCTCTCTGGACCCCACCCCTTATTAGCTGTGTGTGTAGGACTGGTTGCTTCACTTCTCTAGGACTTAGTTCCCTCATCTGTAGAACAAGGGTGATGATAGTACCTACCCCACTGGGTCATGGTGAGGATTCATGGCGTGGTGTGCCTGGAGCATGGTGTGGGACTGTGTAGTGGAGAATGGTGGGAATAAAGTAGATGCTAGGGCCCCCTCCTTCCCACTGTTCACAGAGCCCTGGAGGAGGGAAGAGGGACCCGAGGGGGATAAGTGGCTAGAGTTTCTTTCTTGGGAAGGGCCTATTCCAGTTGGTTCCCCTGGAAAAGCCCCTTCCCACCTAGAGAAGTGGTGGCTTAGGCAGGCCCTGGAATAGTGGGTATTCAAGGGAAGAAGAGTCACAACTGAAAGGGACCTAGGGATCATCTAGTCTAATATGCTTATTATACAGATAGGAAAACTGAGGCCCAGAGAGAGCGAGTGATCACAGAGAAAGGGCAGAGCTCAGATGAGATCCCAGGTCTCCAGCACCCAAGACCTGACCTCAACCTTGGAAGGTGGTCTACAGGAGCCCTGAGGTTAGTAATAGAGACAGTGGGTTCTGCAGCTGAAGGAGAAGGCCCAGAGAGGACTTTGGGAGTGGTCCCTTCCCTTCATCCCCTCACTGCAACCTGGATCTCTCTGGTGCATGATCATTGACCTTCTGTGAAGGAGAGGGCCCCATACTTGGGGGCAGGTGTATCAGCTTGCATGACTACTGCCCCATACACACATCTATGTCCTCTAAGAGAGGTTAGCAACCCCCACAGGTGTCTGCTTAAGAGAGTTTACTTGTTTTGATTAAAAGAGGGTTGTTTTCCTTTCAAGAGTGACATGCATTCAGGAGGGGAGTCCAACCCCAGGGCACCCTGCTCATCCTTGAGCTGAGGCCCACATAGGCTTGCAGCTCTTACCTGAGTTATCCAGACGGCAGGGCCCAGACTTGCACTGCTTATCTGTAGGGAAGAAACAGTAAATAATCAAAGTCTCAATAGCTCTCAGGTCAGGAAAGAACCCCCAAACCCTGTGGTCCATCCCCAACTCATTCAAGGAAAAGCTGATACATTTTCTTCTAACTCTGCTTCCTTATGGTGGGACCTCCTTTGCCTACATTTGACTTGACCCATGAGCAGCAGAGCCAGAAGGGAGCCAGCCCTCAAAGCCAGGGTCTATTCTGGGTACCCTCCTGCTTCCTTGGCCTGTAGCTTTGCCTCACCTCTCCCTCTCCCATGCCCTGTCCCAGCCAAGGAGGCACTAGTTTATGTATTTTGCATGTCTTTTTTATCTTCCATTAACTCATGCAAGCTCATGGTGCTGTCCAAGGTGAGAATGGTAGCCATACTGGACTTTCTCCTATCTTAGATGTGGTCCACAGTTCCAGGCAACAACCTGCTTCTAATTATGCAAATTAGGCCTCACAAGCCCCTGGGCATCATTCGGCCAGGACCAGTAACCCCCAACCCCTTCAGATATTAAGAACCTGAGGCTGGCCTCATGATTCCATCTCCGGCCAGTCTTGGAGGATAGACAGGAAGAGTATCCGAGACCTGCCACAGCCTGAGCTGGAACTTTGGGGCACAGCCCCTAATGGCTATCTCACCACCCACCTGCACCCCTACCCAGCACACACGACAGCACAGGATTTCCATTCAGCCGAATGCATGTGCTCCTCTTGGAAGCTGAGGTTGGGGCTCTTAATCAGACCCGGCATCAATGGTCTGGGTGTCAGTGCTATGGCCAGAAATTAATTGCCTTCCAGCTTCCAGCTGGGAGAAAAGCCTGACCAGTTCTGTTTGGCTCTCAAATGTCCATAGACACCTGTCTTGGTCAGAAAACCCTCTTCAACCTCCCAGCAGGCAAGTGGCCAGCTCTGGCTTAAGCACCTCCAGGGACAAGCGTCCTACTACCTCAGAAGCTTGTCTCCCCTTAGATGCAAGGGGGTGGAGGGGCAGAGGGACAGGACTGGGTCCCCCTTACTATTAATTTATTTGTAATATTTGTGTATGTATCCCCTGAAAACAGAAGGGGAGGCCCATCTTCTGCATAGATGCTGACCAGTGCATCCCCTGCTCACCTTTAATGTACTCACAGTTGTATGTGCTGCGCTTGCCCAGGGCCCGGAGGTAAATGCGGGCAGGGCCCTGGGCTGGTCTGCTGGCATTGATTACCTGGAAGGTCTCAAAGGGGGGGATCAGCACCTCATCCTCCCCAGGGAAGAAGGAGTAGCCCTTGATAGGTGCCCCAAGGCAGGTCCAGATGCCAAAGAAGGTGTCGTCCCCAAACTGCTGGGCTGCAACATTCTGTAGGGAGGCGGAGGCAAATCCTCCCAGCCTTACAGTGGCTCCAGGTGCTGCTGGCCGGAAGCGCAGGCCATGCACCCCTCGGAACACCTGGCGGCACTGGGGTGAACGCTGGCCCCTACCCAGCAGCTGCAGGGCCTCGGTCAGCAGGAAATGGAGTGTCTTGAAGGAGAAGTGGTGGAGGTAGGAGGCTCGGGAGCGGCCCGCCTCCCGCACGGCTGCGTTGAACTGCTTGTGCAAGGGGCTGTTGGCTGTGTAGGCCAGGAGGGCCACCCCATGCTCATCGCGGAAGCCAGGGGGTGGCAGGGGCAGCCGGGTAGGGCTGGGGCCCCACTCTGGTCCCCAGGCCTGGCGCTCCTGCCACTGGCTGCTTGCCAGTGCCCAGCCGTCAGCATACACTTTGTTGGCCTGGAACTCTGTTTGGTTGAGATCCGGGAGGGCAGCTGTCATGGCTGCTGCACAGCCAGCATACTGGTCATCAAAGGAGGCTGGGGCCATATCCAGGGGCATTTCTTGAGAGAAGAGGTCTCGATGAGTGATGGGGTGGCTCTGGGCCTGAGGGAGAGGGAGCAGTAAGGACTGAGAGGATGAGCCTCAGGAGAATGGGAGCCTGTCACCAAATTTCTCCACTTAGATGATGACGCTGAGAGCCCCAAACACACCTGGAGGGGAAGGGGATTGGGAACGACTAGCTGCAGAGACCAGGGTCTGGGACTGTCCCCTCGGGCTGGGCAAGCCCCAAAGGAAGCATCAGTCATTCTCTCCTCCCCTGGCTCCTCACAGGAAGCTGACAACTCAGCCGACAACTGCCTGCTGACATGGGGACAGTGGAGGATAACCATACCTGAAGTGCTTCCATGAGGCCCATGGACACAAGCAGCAGAGACACCATGGCAGGAGGCTGCATGTTGGAGGTAGCCCTAGACAAGTTACTATCTCTCTTTGGGTCTCAGTTTCTTCATCTAGAAAATGAGAATGTTAATATGTAATTTCATAAACATTAATTGACACCTAATCTGTGCCACTCCCAGTGCTTGGCACAGAGTCACAACATAGAAATGAAGGCTCGAGAGAGAGTAGACACTTCTTGCTGGAACATAGGAATATGGGAGACTTCCTGGAGGAGGTGTTACCTGAACAAGGTCTTTCAGGTAAATAGGAGAATAAGGCTTCAATCAGTGGAGACTGGGATAGGAAGATTGGCATTTGGGGTGGGAAAGGAGTCGTGGGTAGCAGAAATGAGAAGATCAAAGGTGTTGAATGTAAAAAGTGAAAGACATTTTATCCAGCACGGCACAGCTTGCAGTGTGGGAATGTTGGGGCCGTTCGTGAAAGGTCCTGACTACCACAGTAAGAGGTCTGGGCTTCACCCAGTGGGGGATGTGAAGGTGGAACAGGGCAGATCCAGGACTGGTCACCTGGTGGGACCATGGCAGTACTCCAGGTATAAGATCCAGCCATCCTCCCCTCCTGCAGTCCTGGTGCCAACTGAGCCCTCCTCCCCTAAGCCCTCGATTGCTTCCAGGGCAGGGACAGATGTAGACCCCCCAGGTGGTAAAGGAGAGGGGCTGGGAGTTGGGGAGAGGATGAGATGGGGAGTGAGGCTCCAAGAAGGCAGAGTCCAGCTTGGGGTAAGGATTGGAGCAGACAGTCTCTCCGTGTCCTCTCTCACTCTTAACTGTGCTTGCTGTTACCGTGACAGTAGTATCCTTTCGGACCTTTTTCTGTGCACATGCAAGTAATTTAATATTGAAATATGCATACACACCTAGTTTTCTGTACACAGGCTGCTTTTGGTTTTTATTTTCTTTTTTTCAAAAAGGAAAAGGAACATGCCTTTTCATGTTTCACATACATCTCCTGTAACCTTTTTTCCAGGAAACAATGTATCAAGGATTTCCTTCCACATCATACATTCATATCTACCTTATTCATTATAATGGCAGCACGGGATTTCATAATATAGCTAAACGATAGGTTGTTCAACTATTTTCTTCTGGGCACACATTTTTTTGGTAACTTTTTGACATTTTTCACATTACACATAATACTTTATGAACATCCATGCATGTAAATCCTTATCTACTTATGGGCATATTTTTATAGGAAAGATCAAGAAGTGATATAATGTTGAAAGGATATGAATTATTGTTTATTTGGCACTGCTCAATTACCACCCAGAGGTACTAGTTTGCCCTTCTGCAGCAGTGAATGAGAGTGGCCTTTTCTCTATGTCTTTGCCAGTTCTAGTTATTATTATCTCTCTCTTTTTTTTTTTTTTTTTTTGAGAGCGAGAATCCCAAGAGCACTCCATGCTCAGTGCAGAGCCCAACAGGGTCTTGATCCTACGACCCTGGGTTCATGACCTGAGCCGAAATCAAGAGTCAGCCTCTCAGCTGACTGAGGATATCTATTTTCTAATTCACATTTCTGCTTACTAACAGGATCAATCTTGACTTTAATGTTTAATGTTTTAAAGGTTTAAGTTTTTTAAATCTTTTTGAAAAATATTTAAGAGAGAGAGAGAAAGAGAGAGAGAGAGGGCAAGCCAGGGGAGGGGCAGAGAGGGAGAGAGAGAATCCCAAGCATGGAGCCTGATGTGGGGCTTAACCTTACGAACTGTGAGATCATGACCTGAGCCAAGATAAAGAGCCAGACGCTTAACTGACTGAGCCACCCAGGTGCCTCTAAAGGTTTAATTTTTTTTTAAAGTAATACATTTTCATTGTTCAGAATTTGAATAGTCCAAAAGGCACACAATAAAATATCTTTCTCTTGCTAATTCCTCACTCCATCTCCCCAGAGGCAACCAACATTCCCATTTTCTGTGTATCCTTCTAAAGATACTCTATGCACATATAAGCAAATTCAAAGATATTTCTATTTTCCTTCTTATACACAAATGGTAAAACAGTCAGTGGTTCTTTGAGAATCTGATGAAAGGTGAAACGTCTCCTCAGAAAATGGAGGGGCATCTGGGTGGCTCAGTCGGTTAAGTGTCCAACTTCTGCTCAGGTCATGATCTCACAGCTCATGGGTTCAAGCCCTGCACCAGGCTCTGTACTGACAGCTCAGAGCCTGGAGCCTGCTTCATATTCTGTGTCTCTCCCTCTCTCTGCCCTTCCCCTACTCATGCTCTGTCTCTCTCTCTCTCTCTCTCTCTCAAAAATAAACATTAAACTTTTAAAAAAGCAAATGGATGTATGTACCCTCACCCAATGTTACATAAATTTCAGGTGGTTATGTCTCTGCCCCCAGTCTCATTCAGGTTAAGCATCCCTGTTCTATAATCTGCTGGGTGGGAGGAGGCTAAACTTTGATGGTTCAGCCCACCCACAAGTCCACACACAGGGGCAGTGGATAGTTCTCGTGCATGCTGATACCTCAGCTTATGCTGAGCTTCCCACCTCTAGTTTTCCATGTTATTTTTGTGCCCAAGACCTGTGCCTCCATCACCCTGTAAACTTGCTCAGGGCAACCCAAAAGTGCAGGGGATTTAATGTTCCCAGGGACAACCCTTAACCAAGGAAGAATGGTAGTCAGATTCCCTTTCCCACAGAGAGTACCCAGTGGGATTAAGCCCCAGTTGACCACAGTGGTCACAGTGTGCTCATTAACGCACTTTTTTGGGGGAGGGGGTGCTTTTCTCTTCTCCATCCCACTTTGCCACTTTTTAAATTTTATTTAATGTAATTTATTGTCAAATTGGCTTACAACACCCAGTGCTCATCCCAACAAGTGCCCTCCTCAATGCCCATCACCCACTTTCCCCTCTCCCCCACCCCCCATCAACCCTTAGTTTGTTCTCTGTACTTAAGAGTCTCTTATGGTTTGCCTTCCTCCCTCTCTGTTTGTAACTATTTTTCCCCCTTCCCTTCCCCCATGGTCTTCTGTTAAGTTTCTCAAGATCCACATATGAGTGAAAACATGATATCTGTCTTTCTCTGACTGACTTATTTCACTTAGCATAATACTTTATCCATTCATCAGTTGATGGACATTTAGGCTCTTTCCATAATTTGGCTATTGTTGAAAGCGCTGCTATAAACATTGGGGTACATGTGCCCCATCCACTTTGCCACTTTTAAACTTGTACTTTCTGGGATCAACTTACAAATAAGCTCACTACACCCAAGTCCTTGTCTCTGGATTGGCTTTTGGGAGACTCTAAACCAAGAGAGGGGGTCTTTTGGGGTCACAAATCATCAGAATGTGGCCCAGAACTGTTCTATTAGCTTGGACCCTAGAATGATCATATAAGCAGCAGACCTGAGCCCAGCCAGCAAAAAGCTGAGGCAGACTGGCAGCTTGAAGCAGAGCAGCCTAAGCAAACTCACTTTAGATTAGACCATCTATAGTCAGCCCAAAAACCTGTGAACATGTGAATAAACCTTTGCGTGCCACGAGATTTTATGGTGCAGAGCAAAATGGTTATGCAGCAAAACCTCACTAGGCCAACTGTATCTCTTGCCATCTCTCTGTTGCCCTTGTTTCTATCCTCATCTCTACCCTGCAGAGACAAGGCAAGAAAAGAGAGAGTTCATAGGCTTGGGATAGGGAAGTCTGAGTTCTGAAGTGAGAGTGAGGACCTTGAATCATGTGGCCTAAGATACTAGCAGTGAGGATGGACCCAGAGTCATTAGGTATAATTTACTAGACATGGTGTCTGATGGGATATAGGGGGTGCAACAGAGGGAAAAATCAAGGATGACATACAGATTCCATACTCCAGTCTGCTAACAGAGGAGGAGCAGAGACACTTTAAAAGCTCATTTTGCCCATCCCAGCACATGATAGGTGCTCAATACAAAATGAATGAATAATCAGGTTTAGAGGAAAAACGGTGAGTTCAGTTTGGCATGTGTGGACTCTCAAGGGGCAAATGTCCAAGGGATAGAAGAATGGACAATAAGATGAGACATTTGAGAGTCATGGGTGTATTGAAGTCAGAAAAGACATAAGATCCCCAGGGAAAGGAAAAAGAGGGCTGAGAAGCAAAGAAAAAGCTGCCTGAAGCCAAAGCACAGGCAGACCAAGACATCTTGGGTTTCTAGAGGCTCTTCACTTGGGTCTCATGAAGTACCCTGGTATTCTTGTGATAATTTCCTCTTTAAATTTTTTTTTAATTTTTATTAATGTTTATTTATTTTTGAGAGAGAGAGAGAGAGAGAGAGAGAGGCAGGCAGAGAGGGAGACACAGAATCAGAAGCAGGCTCCAGGTTCCGAGCCATCAGCACAGAGACGGATGCGGGGCTTGAACTCATGAGCCATGAAATCATAACCTGAGCCAAAGTCGGACGCTCAACTGACTGAGCCACCCAGGCACCCCAATAATTTCCTCTTTAGGTTTTATCTAGCTTGCCATTGAAAGAGTCTCATATAATATACCATCTCTGTTATTCACCCAGTCACCCACAATGGTCACTTCATTCATCAAACACTAAATTAGTTGCCATCTAATCACCATATGGATCCATCCTAGAATCCTCAGGACAGAATCCTTACCCTCAGGACAGAATCCTCCTCATGCTGGCATTTGAGGTGCTCTGTGACCTAGCCCTCCGTGACCTCTTCAGCCTTGTGCTTGGCTTCTCCAGTACAGAACAAAGTTCCAGGTGAGGCTCCACTTCTTCCCTCCCCATGGCTCTGCACACATTGCCATCTGCTGGGGATGCCCTTCTCCTGCTACCCACCTTTCAAGGCTTAACTCAGGGGTCCCCTTCACCAGGGAGTCTTCTGATGACTCTGTGCTCTTAAATCACCCTGTGCTTCCCTCTGTCACTGTCCTAATCGTACTGTGTTGCCCTTATGTGTCTGTTTCCCCTCCTGGCCTGTGAGTTTCTTGAAGCAGGGACCAGCTATGACCTGTTCTGTGTCCCCAGAGCTTAGCCCAAGGCAGCCACAGATGAGGCCACCTGGAATGTTTGCTGAGAGTCTGAGAGGCTTTCTGGGTGCAGCTAACAGTGTAGACCACTGCAGAACAGGTAGTTTGATGACTTTGGTGAGCAGTATTTGGGAGAATGGGGTGGGGCCAGAATGATGGGGAGGTCATGGGAGGCAAGGAAGTGGAGGCACTGGGCAACCCCTTATATCCCACCTGCCCTTCTGTTTTTCCTCTCATCCTGTTCAGGGTACTTGTCATTTCTCCTTATCCAGACCCTCACTGAACATTTCCTTTTGGGGATGTGACTCTTAAGTCCCTTCCCAGGAACCCCTAAGCTTCTCAATGCCCCAAGCCTCCCTAGGTATCCTAAACCTCTCCATAAAAGGGGCTACGGTCTGAATATCTGTGTTACCCCCAAATTCATATGTTGAAATCCTAATACCTGCTGTGATGGCTTTAGAAGGTGGATCTTTTAGGATGTAATAAGTTCATGAGGGCGGAGCCCTCATGAATGGGATTAATGTTCTTTATCAAAGAGACCCCACAGAGCTCCCTAGCCCCTTTTACCATATGAAGACATACTAAGAAGGTGCCAGTTATGAGCCAGAAAGAGAGTCTTCACCCGACCATGCTGGCACCCTGGTCTCAGACTTTCAGCCTCCATAACTATGAGAAATGTTTGTTTATAAGTTATGCAGTCTGGGATATTTTATAGCAACCTGAACAGACTAAAAGTTTCCCTGAAACTGTTCCTAACTCCTGAAACTCCACCATCAATACCCCAAATTTCCCCTTTAAAAGAGTCTTTCCCTGCCCTGTGCCCAGGAGGAGGGCGGTGTGCCCCTTACCTAGGCCTTCTCCAGGGAAGCTGGTGTTGGTCTTCTGCGATGGCCACCAGGGGAGAGGGAAGGCAGGTTTCTCCTTTATACTGTCAGTCCCTCACCCCCTGTCCCCACACAGCTGCTCAGAAATGTGACACTCCCCCATCTATTTCTGGATGTCTCCTCAAGGCTTGGGAACACTAGCCTCTGCCCAGTCTGCCCTGGGCCTGTGCTCCTCCCATGTAAAAGGGAACCCCTGAAGCCAGAGAGAAGGTGGGCTGAGGCATCGAGGATCCAGGCTGGAATGACTGTCTCCCCATTGGGTTTGGTCCTGTGCACAGCACCCCTGTCCTCGGTATCTTTTACATTTGCATTTTATTCCTTTTATGTGAGCATGGAGACTCACCTAACATGCCAGGAGAGATTCCCAGATTAAGGTGGCTGGGTCTGGCCAGCACTGATTTGCTAGGTGATCTTAAAGGACTTTCTGCTTCTGCCTCAGGGCCTCTGTTTAGTGACTAGATTTGATTCCATCTCTTGGGGCCTTTCTTGGATTTCCATATTTGGGGATGGGGGAAGCACTTGCATCAGAGAGGACAAAACTCTGATCCACTAGATCTGATACCAAGGACTTGTTTCAGCAAGCCTACCCATCCCAGACAGTATCTTCTGTTCCAACAGCAAATGCTGAGGGTCCTCCAGGGACAGAGGCAGCCAGGATACACAGGCAAGATGCTGTTTTTCATAGTCATGGTAGACAATAGAGAAACTCCTGATTTTCTAATCTAGTTGAGCTTTGGGATAGTCGGTCTCATTGGAAGGGGACAAGAGTACTTGTCTTTTTTTTTTTTTTTTTAAGTTTATTTATTTTGAGAGAGAGAATGTGCACAAGCAGCGGCGGGGGATGGGCAGAGAGAAAGGGAGAGAGAGAATCCCAAGCAGGCTCCATGCTGTCAGCGCAGAGCCCAACACAGGGCTTGAACTGGTGAATGGTGAGATCATGACCTGAGCTGAAAAAGAGTCAGATGCTTAACTGACTGAGCCACCCAGGTGCCCCAAGAGTAGTTGTCTGGCAGCTGTGTTTGCCTGACAAGTGTTCTAGTTTTTTGGGATGCCACTCCTTCCATCTACCTCCCCACATCTCTCCAAGCCTGTATACACAGTTTGTCTATTTGGGGCTATAGGAAGGAATTTGGGAGAAAGCAGGATTCTTGATGAAGGAAATTCTTTATTTGGCGGGCAGCCTGAGGGGATGGGGCAGCAGGGATGGGGCTAAGTGAGTGAGCCAGACCAGGATGGAGGCCCTGTGGTTAAGTCTAACCTTGTAGGCCCACTTTTGCCCCTGCAAGCAGCAGGAAGCATCTCTTTAAATCCTGACATTTGAGACCCTCCCCCCCCCCAATTCCCATGGCCACTGTGAGAGTAACCCTCCCACCCCCAGCGGCTCAGGCTGCCAGAAAGCTGTCCCCAGAGCTGCTTACTGATTCCTCAGCTGGCCACTTCTCCCATTACCTATGATTTGGCATCCAAAACTCAGAGCCAGGTTATTTATAGACAGGCCCGCAGCAGGGGAGGGGAAAGGCTAGTGTTTGTAAACATGGGGTCACCTGAGTCTAAGAGGTCCAGAGAGGGAGGGTCTGGGGAGAAGTGGTACTGGCCCCTGAGGCTGTGAGATAGCTCTGCATCTGGTCCCACCCCACTAAAGGGAAGGGGAACGATGGGTGCCGCTCAGAGGTCTGACCACAAACGCTCCAACGTTTGGGCCATATGCAAATATCATGCAAATCAGCAAATGCACCAGCGGAGACTTTCTGGTGGGCGGGACCCGCGTGGGCCTCCCCGGCGTAGTGGTCTGGGAGGTGGGGCCCAGCCAGGTCAGGGCCCACCTGAGGAAGAGGCAAGTCTCACAAGTCTCACAAGTCTCACAAGTCCCTCCCTCATCCCTGGCCTCGCTCGGAGCCAAAGTGGATTCTGGAGAAAGACCTCGCAGTCCTAGGGGTAGGGAGGTACGCCCCTCGGCCCCTTCCCGCGCCACACCCGCTGCCCCCACCCCGTGTCCGTTGTTGGAGAAGAGAGGTGTCAGGTTACCGCCGCGGGGGCTATAGTTAGCCGCGGGACTTTGTTGATCGGCTGGACTCCCGGGACAGCGCAGCGCCCGCCCGGACTTGAGCCCCCTGCCTCCTGCCCGAGCTATCAGGGCCCCTTCCCGCTCTCGCCCCTGCAACTTCCAGGTGGGTTCCCCGGCCTCCCTCCCCCTCCCTTGTCCGGGCGAAGCCAAGTAACGGCTCCACCCTTACCATCGCAAGAAAGTCCCCGAGCAGAAGACGCTGAGCTTGGGGGCGACTGGGAACTTGGGGAGCGGAGCCCTGGGGTTTTGCGGAGGACAATTAAATCTAAAGCCACGCCCACTCCCTTAGGCCCGCCCTTAGCCCCGCCCACGCCCTCCTGGACTGTATCCTGAACGGGGGCACTTCACACCCGAGGAACGGACCCAGGTCTTTGTCCCCGAGCCCACCGCCAATGGTGCCCTCGACATCTGGACCTCGCTTTCCTGAGTCTCCCCCAAAAATGATGCTGGTGGCTCTGCTGATGGCTCTCCATGCCCTCTGGCAGGTAACTGGGGGAAGCTTCTCCCACCACAAGGGGAACAAACAGTTCAGGGGCAGACCAAAAAGAGGTGGACTGGGGGGCTGACTCTTCAAAAATCTCTCCCAGGGACTCTTCTCTAGGATCCCAGTCCTCTTAATCTTCTTCTCAGGAACCTCCATCCCTGCAGGCAGCCCCAAGTTCCCATTCTCTCTCCCAGAATCCTCACCTCCACCCACTGGTCCTCCTAGGATCCTCCTTCCTTCATATCATTCCTCCCCACTTCCTGTCTGCCACCACAGGCACAGCCCAGGCAAAGCGGCTTGGGCTACCTGTGCGCTGCCCTCCTGCAGCTCCTTCTAGACCAGGGCTTGACCTCCTCCACACACCCCACCCCATGTTTGGAAAAATGGGCTTCTAAAGCAGGAGAAGACTCAGGAGTCTCAGAGCTGACAGTGTCTTGGTGTTGTGGCATGAGGGGGGAAGAGAATCTAAGGATGGAGGCAGGGTCAGGTCACTGGACATTGGCTGTATATTTGTATATCACCTGAATACTGATCTTAGAGCCAGAACAGTGCTTGGAAGTCATCTAGCCCCACTTCCTACCAGGTACAAGAACTTCTCTAATGACAAAATGACCCCATCATGTTGTACAGAAGTGAAGATCTATATGCTGTCCTCACAATATCCCTGTGAGGTAGAAAGTATCCTCAGTTTATACGTGGAGAGCCCATAAAAGTTAAAGAGACATACACAAGATCCCACAGCTAGTAAATGGGGAAGTCTGCATTTTAACCCATGTCTGCCGACTGCAGTGGCTGTGCTATTTAAGCCCTTGAGCTCTTGCCAAATTGCATATACTATATATCTGGTCATAGAAATGAGATACTGTGTTTCTGAATTGATCTGCCACCAGGGCCCCTGTCCAGTGCTCTGAACTTCTATCCTTTCCTATGTGGCTCCTCTCTTTCCTACATCCATAGGCCCGGGCTGTTCCCATCCTGCCCCTGGGCCTGGCTCCAGACACCTTTGATGATGCTTACGTGGGCTGCGCAGAGGAGATGGAAGAAAAGGCAGCCCCTCTGCTGAAGGAGGAGATGGCTGGCCACGCCCTGCTGCGGGAGTCCTGGGAGGCAGCACGGGAGGCCTGGGAGCACAGGCGTGGAGGGCTCACCCTGCCCCCTGGCTTCAAAGCCCAGCACGGAATCGCCGTCATGGTCTATACCAACTCATCTAACACTTTATACTGGGAGCTGAACCAGGCTGTGCGAACAGGCGGTGGCTCCCGGGAATTCTACATGAAGTACTTCCCCTTCAAGGCCCTGCATTTCTACTTGACCCGGGCCCTGCAGCTGCTGCAGGGCAGTGGGGGCTGCAGCAGGGGACCTGGGAAGGTGGTGTTCCGAGGCGTGGGCACCCTTCACTTTGAACCCAAGAGGCTGGGGGACTCTGTCCGCTTGGGCCAGTTTGCTTCCAGCTCCCTGGATGAGGCAGTGGCCCGCAGATTTGGTAATGCCACCTTCTTCTCTCTAAGGACTTGCTTTGGGGCCCCTATCCAGGCCTTATCTGTCTTTCCTGAGGAGCGCGAGGTGCTGATCCCCCCACATGAAGTCTTCTTGGTCACCAGGTTCTCCCAGGAAGGAGCCCAGAGCCTGGTGACTCTCTGGAGCTATAATCAGACCTGCAGCCACTTTAACTGTGCCTATCTGGGTGGTAAGCCATGCACGAGGGAAGCAGGACTGGTGGGATGGGTGAAACAAACCAGGATGCCCTTTCAGGAGACCCACTTGGTTAATGGGAAAGCTGAGGGCCAGAAGTCAGCTGTAATTACTATTCTCTGTGACTTGGGTTCTGCCAGCTCTTAAAAGGTCTTATAAGTGTTTTCTGGATCTATGAACATTCTCAGGTGATTCTGTAAATATTCTCAAAAGGCTCTATCTGCTGTATAGTCTGATTGACCAATAGAATCTGGTTAAGGAAATTGATAAGCAGAGGAAAGCGACGGATGCTTCTTCAGATCTCAAGAGGCCCTGGGCTTAATGGGTTTGACAGGACACATATATGATGCTGTTCCTAAGTACTGAGGCAAGGACAGTATGGAGGAGTGGCTGGGGCCAGGGTGGGAGCAGGGACGGATAAGCAAGCTGGAAAGATTTTCCAGGGGAAGAAAGAGGAAAGAAAGTCAGAAGTCAGCATTTTGGAGAAGGGAAAGCTGGATTGAGAAGGGGGAATGGCCCACGCGAGGACCTGGTAGGAAGGGAAGCTTGGGGTGTGAGGGTCTGTATCTACATGGAGGCCTCTCATGGTGCTGTCTGTTGCAGGGGAGAAGAGGCGGGGCTGTGTATCTGTACAAAGTGAGTACTCTTTGCCCCCTCCCTCAGCTGCTTCAACTCCCCCTGGCCCTACTGACCCTTCACCTTCTTTTCTTCTCTCTTCAGCAGGACAGCCAGACTCCACCTCCCAGGGGGACTTCTCTCTACTCTCCTGGAAGACCCTGTTCTTGGCACCTAGGGGCTTCCAGATCTCAGGAGTTGGGCCCTGAAAGTTCAATATCTGCCACTTAGGAGTTCTGGGAACTGGTGACCTTCATATGAAGAAGGGAGCTTCGAACAGCCTCGAAGCGAGAAAGTGGTTTCGGACACAGCCCTAGCAGCCACTTCCCCAGGGATGGGGACCCACCCAGCCATCTATCTATCCAGCCATCTCCCCTCCCAACCAGGATGTGGGGGGATCTGAGGCCACGACAGGGTGGAGGGAGCCCTGCTGTGTGGTGGTAGGGACTCCCTGGGACAAGCACGGGTAGTACTATGACGATCACTCAATTAAACAGTATTGCAGTGTGGTGACATCAAATTTCATGATTGGTTTATTCCATGAGACCAGACCATCTACTCTGCTCTAGCCTTGCCAGACTCAGAAACTGAGGGACTAAAAGGATGACTTCTTGATCCCTCCTAGACATGGTCTCCTATGCAGACCCCTGTCACATACCACAACTTGCAAACCAGAAACTTTAAGAGTCAGAGATTCCCCACAACCTCCAGGAAGGAAGGCAGAAAGGGAGAGAGGGAGGGAGGAAGGAAGGAAGGAAAGGGAGGGGAGGGAAGGAAAGAGGAGGGAAGGAAAGGAAGGAAGGGAGATGGATTCATCACCCATTTGTCAGATGAGGAATGCAAAGCTAAGGAAAGAAGCAACTTGCTCAAGATCAAAGAGTTAGTATTAAAACCAGGCTCCCTGCCTCCCAGTCCAGAATCCTTTCCACTAATGATGTGAAGGAACTCAAGTAGGAGCCTAAACCCAAGATACCTGGGACCCCATAGCAAGACATTTCTGTCTGTCCTGCTCCCACAAGAGTCCATTTCAGGGACAAGGGAAAGGGATCTCAAAACGTGAAGAGACAGAGATCCTTACACTCTCTGGAGGCATCTGACATCCAGAACAGAAACTTTATTGAGGCAAGTAAAGCAGCACAGGCTTCTACTAAGTGACCCCTACCCTCACTTATCTAGACTTCTCTACCTAGTAACAGAAGAAGGGACCCTCCCACTGCATCAGGACCCCCCTTAGATTCCCAAATCTTCCTCCTGGGGCAGGTCCCCAGCCGCCTCTGATTCTTGCTCCCTGTGCACTAACACGTGAGCTGGGGAGGAAGGGCCAGACTCTCCAGAAGCTGGAGTCCTAGCCCCTCCAGCATCCTGAAGCCCAGTTTCCGAAGATACCTGGGTCCCCACAAGCCCTGGCACTGTCAGCTCTGGGGCTTCAGGGATGGGGGGGCCCAGATTCTGGAAGCTGTTGCGCACTCGGGTGATGTAGCGACTGAGGACGCTGGCACCTCCGGGTGGTCGGGGTGTCCCTCCCTCTTCCAGAGTCCGCCGCACACCAGCCACCTCACTTTGCAGTCGAGACACAGTCTTGGTCAGCTCTGTCAGTCTGTTGCCCAGGTCTGGGGGTGTGGGGGAAGGTATTGATGGGGATCATCTCAGAAGATGAGCGTGCCCTGAACCACTTCTACCCTCAACAGAATCTCAGGGGACATATGCCTGTGGGTCCTGAGGGAGGAAAACTGGAGAAAGTGAGAGACTGGCTCGTGGGCTGGGGATCAGGAGCAGGCAGAGTCTGGGGCAGATGAATCTGAGTGGGGCTGAGGTGGCCATGAGTTTAGAAGATACAAAGAAGGAAAGGGATCCTCTCCCCAGAGAAGGGGTCAGGAATCACAGGGATGGGAAAGTTTTAATGGGTAGAGATTTGTGCCTCTGCCCCTGTCAGCCCTGTTCCCATCTAACCATCCTCAGGGCCCAGTTTCAATTACACCTCTGCTTTCTCCCATTTCTGGTCCTCTATTCTTCTACCTTCCCAATAGCCTGTCAAAATAATAGGTGCTGTCTCTCTCTCTCTCTCTCTCTCTCTCTCTCTCTCTCTC